GTAAGAATAGTGATGCTTTTAAAATTCTTGTTTTCACTTTTGTATGCTTAAATCTATTTACATGATCTAAAAATACAACATTTATTTTAGCTGCATTATTCCAAAACTATAGTATCTTAAATCATGGAATGAAGCATGGTATTATAAAATCTTTGGTGCATATACAACACACACAGATTGCAACTCAGTTGTACCCCATTTTGATCAGGGTTTCTGTTTTATAATATGTCACTTATAATATCCTTTCCTAAAGCAGTGAGCCAAATGATAAAAAATATCACTGTCAAATTGGTAGAAAGTATGTGTATGTTACAGATTGGAAGTAGGGCATGTTAAGTATGCACAACTTTTAGATCCACTCATCTTTCCATTCTCCACCTTAACTCTCTCGTTATTAAAATTTTTGAAATGCCCTATCTCCTGCCATGATTCTATCCTCCACTGTGTCTTCCCCTTTCAATAGTTTTGCAATTATTCTTGAACTGGTTGACATCTGAATACCAACTTACATTATGTACGAAGTGGGGCTAATAAGCTTCTTGTATTAATTGAGTCAGCACATCAAAATGCCAAGGACCATGTCCTTAATTTGTTACGTGTTTAAACAACATTGGCTTGACTAATACTTTTTGTTATTTTATTCAAGCTCATATCTTTTAGAAGACTGCTTACTGAAACAGCTGAATAGAGAAGGACATATTACCAAAATAAAGTATTTTATTTTTTTTAAATGACTAGCTAATCTCACTGTATCAGATCTGGTCAATTCAACCTACAATGTTTTCACAGATATTTAATGGCATGTGTAGTCTCTGATGTAAACATAAAGCTAAATTCTAGCTAAGACTAAGTGCCGGATCTCCTTGAGTTTTATAGCTGTAGCTAGAACTTGCTTGTTTCTGCTTTTGTTTTTGCTAATAATTTAGTCTACTGAGAAGGTTAATAAGATCACATCTCCAATGAGAGAGATTAGTAATTCTGTGGACTTGAGTGCTCTATGGATCTGAGATTGAAACCCGACTCCGCTTCTTAAGTATACATCATCAGGCAACCCAATTAATCTTTACCAATCGTATTTGCAAAACAGATAATTATATCTACTTTGACTAAAAGTTTTTCATGGAATAATGAGAATAAGTGACTTAACATGCCTAAAACCATTTACAATGCAGAGTAGGAACATAGCAAATTTGTAAGGTATTAATTCTCAAGTAACCAGTTCAACTAGAAGGCAACTTATTTGTTAAAGCCAGCATCTCATTATTGATTAGGAAACTATTGATCCATATATTGTAGGTAGGAAAGTCTCTCTCAAAAAGAAATCTACTCAGAAAAATAAATAAAAAATCACAAGTGATTATTAGTCGATCTCTGAGGAAATTTACTTAGATTTGGCAAAAATATGAATGACAACACTGATAGCCTGCTATGGTTTGAATGTTTTGTACCCATACTTGTTCATGTATTAGAAGTTTGGTTCCCCGAATGCCAATATAGAAGCTAAGGATCATTGCAGAAGTGGGCCTAGTGGAGGATTCTGAGAGCACTGGGGCACTATACTTGGAAGGGAATACAAGTCTCCTAGAGTGAATTCTTGCAGGTGTAGGTTGTTATGAAAACCTGAGCCTGACCCTAGTCTCTAGCTTGCTTCCTATATTGAGATGTGATGTTTATTCACACACACACTCCAATCATTTTGTGATGCCAACTACTGTTAGGCTTCGCAGAGGAGAAATCAGTGGAATTAATGGAACCATCCAATCTTGGATTTTGAGACCCTAAAACTGTCAGCTGAATAAATATGTACTTTATAAAATTAACCATCAACTATTTCATTATGGTAATGAAAACTAGACTAATAAGTAACCTGGTACTTTTTTTTTTCACCTCCCAAATGATAGACAATTACCCAAGTTTGAACAGACTTTCCTAAAAGGGTAAAACACTTCTTTTGAACAATTCTTGAATGAGTCAACTCTTTCACATTGAAAGTCTTTTTTATTGTCTTAAATTTATCATGCATGGAGTGACCTTGTAAGAATATTGGGATGTAGTTTTTGTATCTGTTCTTTTGAAAATGAATAGAAAGAAGCTATGCAGAGCAGAGGAAGCAGCTGGACTTTGTTGCTGTCCTAAGTACTTGCAGGCAACTACATAGAGACATCTGAAGCATGAACTGCCTTTCATATTAGCCCCAAACAGAGCAGGAGGTCAAATTTTTTACTGTCATGCTAGTAATTCTTTGGATCTGTGCTGCCTTGAGGACAGAGTGTGACTGATGGGTGAGGCAGTGCCCTATGCTGAGGCAATCTCCAAAGGGGAACAACAATTGAGAGAAACCTGTCAATAGCAATTTCAAAAGTTGTGTAATAAAATCTTCATTCCATAAAATCTCCCAAGTTTGGCAGCTTAGCATCTAACACATGAAAAGATCCTAGCAACTAATGATTGTCCAAGCCAATAGTGCTACAAAATTTTTCTAAGACCCGTTGATACCTAAAGAACAAAATTTTATTTTGTCACAATTCTGAAGACTGCTATGTCAATGATCAAGTTTCTGGAAGGTTTGAGGATCTGTTGAGGACTGTTCTGTACTTTCAAAATTATGCTCATTGCAGTGCTCCCTAGAGGAAAAGAAAAATGTGCCCTCACTTGACAGTCGGTGGAAAGGTAAGTTGAGTGAATTTTCATAAGGGCCTTAAAGAAGTTCTCATGGCCTCATTACACCTGCATTATAGAAGGAACACATTTCAACCACAGCAATGGTACAACCCTTCCTCTTCTTGGCTAGTGAGTACCACGTAAACAAGGTGCAAATAAAACACAGCTGCTTGCCTGGGTACAATATTTTCACTAGAACTGATGAATAGAGGCTTTGGATCCAGGACTGTATTTGATAATCATGTATATTTTTGTAAGCCCTACAAATGACTAATGTTCAAAATAGTTTGAATTTCAATGGGAAGTAAAGAAGTGATTGTAGCTCCTGCTATCATCAACAATTTAATTTCCCTAGTGTCTTCAAAGTTTTGTCCAAAGGTATTTTGATAAAATTGACATAATAAAATACCTAATGTGCTGTTGCCATCAATCCTTGACTTATTAAATGTGCACTTGTGTAGAATAAATACATGAAGGGAGAATTACTGTGGAATTCTTGTTAAGTATTTAATACATATCATTGCATATACTTTGACAATTTAATTTTGACCTATTTTATTATCTCAGTTGTTATTTCCTTTATTTATCAATATATTGGCACATAGTGAATGTCTTTGTTGCTCTTAGTTCACTCTTCATATAAAACTGAAAATCTTATTCTACACTAATCTTTGATGAAAAATGCCAATGAGAATCATTTGTGGACCTAGAATGGGAGCACTTAAGTCATTGTGATTTTCTGAAAATTAGTTTTTTTCTAATTTCCACCTTTACAAATATTCTGTTATGACACTTTTCAGATATAATCTTTTTTAAAAGATTTATTCATTTTATTTGAAAGGTTGAGTTACAGAGAAGAAGAGTGAGAGAGAGAGAAAGAGAGGAAGAGAGAAAGAGAGATAGAGAGAGAGGTCTTCCATCCACAGCTTCACTCCCCAGATGGCCGCAACAAGCGGAGCTGCACCAATCCAAAGCCATCAGCCAGGAGCCTCTTCCAGGTCTCCCACTTGGGTGCAGGGGTCCAAGGACTTGGGCCATCCTCCACCGCTTTTCCCAGGCCATAGCAAAGAGCTGGATAGGAAGTAAAACAGCCAAGACTCAAACTGGCACCCATACAGATATGATATTAATCAGCATAAGTTAATGGACATTGAATGATCAGTAAATAAACAACAAAGTTTTTCTAAAATATATGGAATATCTGAAATTTCATGCTTTAAATTTATGGAGAATTGGAATGTCTTATATTATATGATCATGACTTAAAAGATAGTTTTAACTTTTTCTATGAATACTTTCGTGTAATTTTAATTTTATAAAATTCGAATTCAAGTGATTGATGCTGCTTTCTGAAGCATTAACTTTGATCTAGCAACTTATGTTTAATTTTTCTATTCACTAGCCTTAAATAAAACACTAAATCTTATAATAGTGAGAACAATTAGTATATCATTCTTCTCTACTACTGAAGAAAAGAAAGAAAATTGCATTCTGTGATGGCTATAAAGTCACCTAATTGCAGCCAACCTACATAAAATGTATATATATGGAACATCAATATGATAATAAGGTATTAATTTATGTTCTTTTTTATCTGTAAAATGCACAGATTAATCATCTGATTCACTTTAGCTTGGCACTTTAGGAGTAAAATGCACTTTGAAGATATTTAATATTGTGCATAGTAAATTAAGGTGAGGAAATGAGATTGCTCGGCTAACTCAATCATGGACATTTTGATTAAAAGGATTATGTGTAGTAAACTGGTTCTGTACAAAAGGCAGCGTACTACAGGGAAACTATACTATTCACTTTGAAAACAAGATACCAAAGTCAAGTGACTAAAACAAATAAACAAAGGAAACTCCTTTATGGGAATTTTCATGCAAACAAAACAACAAAAACATTCCTGTAAGGGTGATGTCCTAAACCTTGTAGCCACAGTCCACAGACAGAGTTCTGGGGATCATCAATTTGGTTGGAAAAAAGTATACCCTATTTTTTTTCTTTCCCATCTTTCTATCTGGAATTTACATTTTCTTCAATTACGTATGTAAAGCCATTGACTGTATATGAGTACTGAGTATGTAACTTTTTCATCAAAGGAGCTCCCATATACTTCCAAAACCTATTACACTAATTGTAAATTTTTCCTAGTATATTTTATTTTATCATTATTTTGAAATTATTATTACATATACAGAAAATTTAAATCATTAATCAAGATGTGTGTACACTAATAGCTTGCTTTCAATTTTCTAACTATATTTCAGTCAAATTGGATTTATTTTGTAATAATATATATTATTAAAATATTTTATTTTATTTTTTTAGGCAATAAACGTCATATTATGAAAGCAAGATATTTCAAGTTTCAAAGATCTGACAAGTTCTGTAGAATCTTTCAGCAGTAGACAGAAACTTTCAAACTGCATAATCTTCTGCCATGTAGGACTGTCATTCACTGGTTTGAGGCCAAATCCATTTCAAGGCATGTCGTGGTGGTACAGTAATGGTGGGATGGTAAAATGTGTAGTCTGGTCTCATACACTGAGTGTTAAACCTACAATGTTTTGGGTGATAGAGGGACATTCCATTTTTTTACAAGCCGGGAAGTAACGGCAGAGCTGACTACTAGAAGGTATTCCTGGTGTTGTAACTGGTTTTGGAGGCAGTGCTGGAATTCTTCTGTTCACATGAGTGAAGGGACAATCTGGTTTAGTGCACTTTGCATCATATTTACAATTTGGATGAACAAATAAACACTTTTCAGCAAATTTACAGTTGGGGAAGGCTTTGCAGGGTGACACCGGATGGTGGTATGCACACTCACCCCCGTTTTTACAAGCTGGCCAGTACTTGCAGCGCTCCAAGAGCTTCTCTGGTTTCTGTGCTACACTCAGCTCACTCATCTCAGCTTGACTAATCTGCAGTGTTTCCGCCATTGCTGGGTCAATCTGCAGGCGGGACAGTAACTGCCTCTGTTGAGTTCCTTGACTTTTTTCTATATTATCTCCTTTTGTTTCCTCTTCTTTCATGGGGGGACTTATTCTGGGGATCCTGCTTTGCCCTTGAACCACTTCTGGTAGCAATTCTTCTTGAGAGGTTCGCGTTCTGGGAGCAACTGGAAATGTCTGCTTCTGTGGAACTCCTCTCAGGCTTTGCAGGCACTGATACACTGCTGGAGACGCTTCCTGTCTGGGGGCCATAGTCATCATCTTCTTCCTCCTCTTCTCCATCAAGACTGAACTTTTTTACTTTAACAACTGAACTTACCACAGGCAACTTTCTCTTCCGAAAGTTTTCATCCTCAATACCCATTTTTTCCGAACTATTTTTGAAGAAAGGACTGTAAGTCTCTTCTAAGCTGGAGAGTACTTCTGGCTCACACAAACGTCCTGTTTCATACACCCGGCTGTTCTGTGCATCAAGTTGCTTGCTAGCATGACCACTGTTCTGCTGCTGCTGAAATTGCAACCTGTTTAAATGAGCACCACTCTGAACTTCGACTTGCAGGTGGTCGGTAAATTTCAATAGAAGGATGAGAAGAACCATATGTAAGTGTCACTGTTGGTTTTTTCTGAGATAAGGGATTCTCCTGCACAAAATTGAAGTTTTCATCAAAGAGATCATCTGGTTCTGGCTTAATATCAATCACATCTTCAGAGGGAGCTGGTTCCCTCAGAGGTTTCACTGTTGACATCAGTCGGGTTGCAGCTCCATCATCGTAAGTCTGCCTAACAGTAGTTTTCTGCTCCTGTGAACTTGTAGAAACTCTGGAATCTCTTTTTTCAGGTCTACTGCTGGAAACGGCAAGAGGTGGCACCGTAACTTCATGCCTTCTCTCATCTCCCCGACTGAAACTGCTCTTGGTTGAAGGCACAATACTATCAAAGATATTGGTATCAGAAGACTTTAGACTAGAAGGTTTAGTTGTAATAGAACGAAGTTTATCTAATACACCATGAAGCCACACGGTGATTCGAATTGTGTTGTTCCCTAGAAACAGGGACAGGTCCTCTGTCATTTGGTCCTGACTGTTCTTGTTGGCCACCATCACCATAATGTAATCAGGAAGTTCTTCATCGACATAAGCTCCCAATTCTTGCAGTTTCTCCTTAACGGCACTCCGGATCTTGCAGCTGATCTCGGTGCCAATCCCCATGGCTCTGCGGCGGGTGGCGGGCTCAGACTGCGTGGCGCTTCGCTTACTCTGAGACCGCCCCGGGCTCGTACCCCACAGCCCGGCCACCGCCTCCCTCTCCCTATTAAAATATTTTAGGGCCAGCACCGTGGCTCACTAGGCTAATCCTCTGCCTGTGATGCCGGCACACCGGGTTCTAGTCCCGGTCGGGGCGCCATTTCTGTCCCGGTTGCTCCTCTTCCAGTCCAGCTCTCTGCTGTGGCCCAGGAGTGCAGTGGAGGATGGCCCAAGTGCTTGGGCCCTGCACCCGCATGGGAGACCAGGAGAAGCACCTGGTTCCTGGCTTTGGATCAGCGCAGCATACCAGCTGCAGTGTACGGGCCGCAGCGGCCATTGGGGGATGAACCAACGGAAAAAAGGAAGACCTTTCTCTCTGTCTCTCTCTCTCACTGTCCTCTCTGCTTGTCAAAAAAAATTTTTTTTAGGAAGCATTTGTTATATAAAACATTTAATCTGGGGAAGAGTGCATGGTCTAAAGCAGACTGCCAAAAAAGTTCAAGTGAAACAAACAAAAAGCAAACCAAGACTGGCTATTAGATAACAACTCTCATGCAAATTGGAGCCAGAGAAATGTCACTGTATTAATGAATTGGAAAATCTGGAAAATGAGTCACAAACTCACAAAAGCCCTCCTTGCTAGTTCATTGTACAGCTAAATCTATTTATCAAATTTGTACATGGGCTGAGAGAGAATGTGTTCTTCTACTGTGGAAAAGGACATTAACAGCAATAGATAATAATGTTATTTTTGATATAAGAAGGGAAGGCCATAGCAAAATAATGTAAAAAATAACTTCTGAGTTCAAATAAATGTGGAAAATTTGAATAATATTTTAAGTGGATTTATTAAGATAGTAATTAAGTATAGGTATATCATGTAACTTAATTCTTTATTAAAAGTGACATTAAGCATTTATCAGTATTTTTAAAATAATTTATTTATTTATTTGAAAGTGAGAATTACAGATATAGAGGAAGAGAGAGAACATCTGCTAGTTTTCTTCCAAGATGAATGCAAGAGCTAGAACTGGGCCATGCTGAAGCAAGAAGCCAGGAGCCTCTTCTGGGTCTCCCATATGAGTAGCAGGGGCCCAAACACTTGGGCCATTTTCCACTGCTTTCCCAGGCCATTAGCAGTGAGGTGGATCAGAATTGGGACATCCAGGTCTCAAATCAGTGCCCATATTGGATGCTGAGGACTCAAGTAGTGGCTTTACCTGCTATGCCACAACGCAAGTCCCTTCTCATTATTTCTTAAGCATGGAAAGTTTCTTCTCTTCAACTATATATGGGAAACGAATTCTATAATAATAGAATAATTAGTAGAAGTAGAGAAGTAGAGGTCCTTCAATAGTCATGTCCTATCTTTTTTTTTTTTTCTTTTAACTTCTTTTAATGGGTGGTGTTTAAGATGCTATGTTTTATTTTTTTCCTTTTTTTAATTTAGTAAATATAAATTTCCAAAGTACAGTTTATGAATTACATTGGCTCCCCCCATACTTTCCTTCCCACTCGCAGCCCTCCCATCTCCCGCTCCCTCTCCCATTCCATTTACATCAAGATTCATTTTCAATTATCTTTATATACAGAAGATCAATTCAGTATATATTAAGTAAAGATTTCATCAGTTTGCACCCACACAGAAACATAAAGTGTAAAAATACTGTTTCAGTACTAGTTATAGCATTACTTCAAATTGAACAAAACATTAAGGACAAATCCAACATGAGAAGTAAGAACACAGTGACTCCTGTTGTTGACCTAATAATTTGACACTTTTGTTTATGGCGTCAGTAATCTCCCTAGGCTCTAGTCATGAGTTGCCAAGGCTATGGAAGCCTTTTGGGTTCGCCAAGTTCGATCTTATTCCGACAGGGTCATAGTCAAAGTGGAAGTTCTCTCCTCCCTTCAGAGAAAGGTACCTCCTTCTTTGATGGCCCCGTTCTTTCCATTGGGATCTCACTTGCAGAGATCTTTCATTTAGGTCTTTTTTTTTTTCCAGAGTGTCTTGGCTTTCCATGCCTAAAATACTCTCATGGGCTCTTCAGCCATATCCGAATGCCTTAAGGGCTGATTCTGAGGCCAGAGTGCTATTTAGGACATCTGTCATTCTGTGAGTCTGCTGTGTGTCCCACTTCCCATGTTGGATCGTTCTCTCCCTTTTTGATTCTATCAGTTAGTATGAGCAGACACTAGTCTTATTTGTGTGATCCCTTTGACTCTTAGACCTATCAGTGTGATCAACTGTGAACTGAAATTGATCACTTGGACTAGTGAGATGGTATTGGTACATGCCACCTTGATGGGATTGTATTGGAATCCCCTGGCACGTTTCTAACTGCACCATTTGGGGCAAGTCTGATTGAGCATGTCCCAAATTGTGCATCTCCTCCCTCTCTTATTCCCACTCTTATATTTAACAGGGATCACTTTTCAGTTAAAATTTAAACACCTAAGAATAATTGTGTGTTAATTACTTAACAAACAATGAGGACATATTAGACCAAGACAGGACAGACATCAATAAAAAAAAAAAAAAAAAAAAAAAAAAAAAAAAAAAAACCTCAGGACTTCAGAGTTTAATTACTAAGTTCTACTGAGAAAAGTGATGGTTTCTTCCAAGTCAAGACTGGAGACCAAAGCCACAGCAGGATTTGGGGGTAGCTAGACAGAAATAGCTGTAATATCTCACTCTGAGTAATTGATGGGGAATTATGTGCTAAGAGTTACAGAGACATTATGTTGGGACTAGCATGGTGACACAATGGGTTAAGCCTCTACTTGCAATGGTGGCATGTGCGGGCCAGCCGCACCAGTCGAACGGAACCTGAAGGAGGGAGTGGGAATGGAAAGAGGGACAAGGGCACAGAGAATGGAGCTAAGACAACAGGGCTAATCAAGGCTCGTTTATTCTAAAGTCCTAGTGGTATTTATACATAACCAGCTGCAGAACGAAGAAGCACAAAGAAGCACAAAAGAGAACAACGTACGTAAGCAACTTATCAGGGCCTCAGGTAGCACAGAAAGTTTTAACAGAGCATTCTTGATTATCATCCTCCTTCAGGATGTCATCCTCCTTCAGGATGGGAGTATGTGACTTTCTTATCCCAGGAATTCCTCAAGGCTTAGATTGGCCTTAACTTGTCCAAAGGCTGCCTACAGTGGCATCCCATATGAGTCCGGGTTTAAGTCCTGGCTGCTCCACTTACCATCCGGTTCCCTGCTAATATGCCTTAAAAGGCACCGAAGTTGTGTGTATGTGTGTGTGACTGGGATGGAGTTCAAGACTCCTGGCTTTGGCTTGTCCCAATAAGGGATGTTGCAGCATTTTGGGGAGTGAACTAGAGGATGGAAGATCTCTCTCTTCCTCACTCCCTGTCTCACTCTTACAGTTTTTCTCTCTCTCTCTGAAACGCTGCCTTTCAACTAGCTAACTAGCTAACTAACTAAATATTATAGAAAAATTAAGAGCTGTATGTCTACACAACAAGATATGACTAGCAACAAGATTCAAGTGCAGGCCCTCTGGCAATGTCAACCCCTAAATTCTTGGAGCCCAGTCTGTACCATTATTTCAAAGACCAACTCTTGTATATAATACTTCCTACTCCTTGCTAACTTTTAATCAATGATATATGCTTCCCTATTATTAATAATGTATATCATTTTTAATAAGGCACACTCTATTTTACTTAAGAATATTTGTAATGCAAGCCAATTTCCAGGGGATTAGGAGAGAAAATGGAAGATAATCCAATTTTGAGAAAGAAATTTGGCCACTGAAGTATAATTGGTAGGAAGTTCATTGACTATAATATACACAGGCAGCTTTCACCTATATTTATTATAATCACGTTGGGCAGTAAAGTCAAGATACCAGCAATAGCAAAAATAATCAAAGCTACTATTTAACACACACTTAGTAGGAGTCAGGCAAGGTACAGGAAATTTATCTGTACTTTTTCATCTATTCCTTATGGAACTTCACAAAGTCTCATCATACTTGTTAATTTAAAAAGCTCTGATTCTGAAAGAAATTGAGTAATTAGTTTTATATCATACTGAGGGACATAGATAAAACTTAAGCACAATCCTTAAATTCCAAATTCATACTCTTTTTTGTTTTGAAGATTTATTTATTTACTTTGAAATTGTTACAGACAGAGAGGAAAAGGGAGAGGGAGAGGGAGAGGGAGAGGGAGAGGGAGAGGGGGAGAGAGAAAGAGAGAGAGAGAGAATCTTCCATCTGATAGTTCACTCCCTGAATGCCCATGATGGTCAGCACCATGCCAGGCCAAAGTCTGGACCTAGGAGCTTCATCCATGTTTCTTGTGTGTGTGGGAGGGACCCAAGTGGAGCAGCTGGAACATGAACCAGCACCCATATGACATGCTAGTGTTAGAGTGGTACAGGAGACAGCTTTACCAGCTATGCCACAATGCCGGTCCTCAAACCCAGATTTGAATGATATAAGCAATTCTGTAGGCACATTCTAACAAAGGGAAAGGGGGATATGGCAATGTATTTAGGGGGTAATTGGCCTGTTTTGAATATTAATCTTTTTTATGTGGTTCCCCAAATTCTGAATTGAAGAACTGTAAGTCTGTAGAACAGTTAAGGTGTAAACAATTGGTCTAATGGTTAAAATGCCACTTGGTATGCCTGCTTGCCATATCCTAGTGCCCACAAACTGTTTTTCCTTGCTTAATATCTGCTTTACAATACAGTGCAAGGGTAGAAAGGGGGAGTTCCCATAGTGATTGTTCACTTTGCAAATACAGGAGTGTAAAAATCCAGTTTAATTAGACCACCATTTCTCAACAAAGCTATTAAGTGAGAAGACAATTTAATTACCTGAGCATGGATTCATAACCTGTGCTAGGTAACCTGGTAATAAGAATGATGGGACACTTTAAATGATATCATTCCATAAAAGAGCAGCAGTTAACAGTACACCTCCC